TAAATTAATAATTCCAATAACATAAAAACTTATACTTTTAAAATCTACCTAGAAAAAATAGTGTTTTCATCTAAGTGGTGGTAAGAAATTAAACCATTTTGGGTCAAATGGGCCAATGCATATTGCCACAATTAAATAATAAAATTCAAAATAGATAAAATGCAAAAGATATAAAAATTAAAAATAGTTAGGAACATTTTAGCATCATATATTTGACATGTTAAACAATAATAAGTATGATGAATAAGAAATGTTTTTATTAATGATGGAAATTTAATGTAAAATTTAAAATTAATTGGATATATATTTTCTCATTAAACCCTATATTTAAGATATATTTTTTATCATTAAATTCTACTGATTAAAGACAACATTAATTTTAATAGTATAAAAATAAATATTTTATAAATTAATTTGAAAACAAAACTATTTTCTTCCCTCCCGGTGGTGGGTAAGCAATTCAACCATTTGGGGTCAAATGGGTTAATAAATAATGCCATAATTAAATAATAATAAGTTAAAATAAATAAAATATATAATACAAAAAAAATTAGGCATATCTCTAATATTGTATATTCATTATACTAAACAAAACTAATTATAAAAATGTAAGAAGTATTTTTATTAATGATGAAAATGAAATTCCAAATATAAAATCAACCTAGAAATGAAATGATGTTATAGTCAAATAATAAAATTTTTAAAAATAGAAAATGCAAAGAATCACAAATATAAAAAATAGAGAAAAAATTGGACATATATCTAATGTTATATATTTCTAAAAAATAAAATATTGGGTACATATTGAATATTGTACATTCATTATATTGAACAAAAATAAGTATAATACATAACAAATAATTTTATCAATGATGGAAATGCAAAACAAAATTTAATATCAACCTAGAAATCAAACTATTTTTCCTTTTGGGTGGTGGGTTTGTGGTTTAGGTCAAATGGATTAATCGATGACATGATAGTTAAATAATAATTAAAAAAAAATAAAAAAATACAAGTAATCAAAAGAATATATTAATTATGTCAAACAAAAATTTAAGTGGTATAAGTAAAAATTATTTATATAATGTAGATGAAATATATAATTTAAAATTGATCCGAAAGCAAAGCTATTTTCATATTTAGATAGTTGGTCGATCAATGGTTCAACTTTTCAAAGAAACTCATGATGTCATAATTGAATAATAAATATTTAAAAAAGATAGAACACAAAAAATGAAAAAAGTGTAGAATTTTGTTAAAAACACCTGAGAACATTTCTAATGTTCTATATTAATCATATTAAATAAAATTAATTGTTAAAATAAAAATTTATGTTGTCACAATTAAATAATAAAATTTAAATATAGATAAAATGTAAAAATTTAGGAATTAAAAAAAAATTGAAAAAATTTTTAACATCATATGTCCTTCATTTAGAACTAGACTTGTTCATGGGCCGGACCGGGCCGGGCTTGGGCCGGGCTTTGACTCTTTATTAACAAAAAAATGTTAGGCCCGAGCCCGAGCCCGGCCCGACCAACGAGCCTACAACTTGGGCCCGAGCCCGGCCCTGATAAAAAGCCCAAAGCCCGACCTAATAAAAGAAATTCAAAATTTTCCCTATTCAAATAGACATTATCTATTTTAATTCATATGTTTTTTTCCCCAATTTAAATGAACAATGGGCCTACAAGTGAATCAACAACCTTCTCAAATCAAAAAAATTATTCAAATGGACATCACATTAGGTTTCTATAGGTCGGGCCGGGTTTACTTAGATTTAACTATAAGTCGGGCCGGGCTGGGCTCGGGTCGGGCTATTTTGGCAAAGCCCGAGCCCGGCTCGAATTTTATGCGGGTCGGGCTTTTTGGCGCGAGGTTAAGCCCGCGGGCCGAAAAGCCTATGCAAGCCCGTCTGGGGGTCGGGTCGGGTCGGCTCGGCCCATGAACAAGTCTATTTAGAACAATAATAAGTATGATTAATAAAAAATGTTTTTATTAATGATGAAAATGGAATACAAAATTTAAAACCAATTGGAAATAAAACTACTTTCCTATACTCTCTCATTAAATCTCATATTTAAGGTATATTCCCTTTTTAAATCCTATATTTAAGATATATATTTTCTCGTCATTAAATTTTACTAATTAAATCTACAACATTAATTTTAATGGTACAAAAATAAATTAAATATTTTGGCAATTAATTCGAAAACAATACTATTTTGTTCCGTCTTGGTGGTGGTAAGCAATTCAACCATTTGGGGTCAAATCAGTTAATAAATAATGCCATAATTAAATAATAAAAAATTAAAATAAATAAAATATATAATATAAAAAATGAAATTGGGCATATCTCTAATATTATTGTATATTCATTATACTAAACAAAAATAAGTACGAAATGTAAGAAGAGTTTTATTAATGATGAAAATGAAATTCCAAATTTAAAATCAACTTAGAAATGAAATGATGTCATAGTCAAATAATATTTTTTTTTAAAAAAATAGAAAATTCAAAGAATCACAAAAATAAAAAAAATAGAGAAAATTTTGAATACATATCTAATGTTATATATTTATAAAAAATAAAAGATCGGGTACATATTTAATAATATACATTCATTATATTGAACAAAATAAGTATTATACATAGAAAATAATTTTATTAATGATGGAAATGTAATACAAAATTTAATGTCAACCTAAAAATGAAAATATTTGCCTTTTTGGGTGGTGGGTTAATTGTTTGGGTCAAACAGATTAATCAATGACATGATTGTTAAATAATAAATCTTTAAAAAATTAAAAAGTACAAGTAATCAAAAGAAAATATATAAAAAATATATATTAATTATGTGAAACAAAAATTAAGTGCGATAAGTCAAAATTATTTATATAATGTAGATGAAATATATAATTTAAAAGTAATCCAAAATCAAAGCTATTTTTTTATTTGGATGGTGTATTAATGGTCCAACTTTTCAAAGAAATTCATGATGCCATAATTGACTAATAAATATTTAAAAAATATAGAACACAAAACATGAAAAAGTATAGAATTTTGTCAAAAACATTTGGGAGAATTTCTAATGTTATATATTCATCATATTAAATAAAAATAATTATTAAAATAAAATTATGTTTATTTATGACAGAAATGGAATAAAAAATTTAATAATAATAATAATAATTGTTATTATAATTTAGGGTAAATTACAAAGGCCCCATGTACTTTGTTTTACAACAAAGACCTCCCTTGTACTTTGATCGTAAGACAAAGACCCCCTTCCGTTAGCCTTCCGTTAAAATCCACCATTACAATATTCTTTAATCCCCATACTACTCTTGTAATACCTATTCGGAAAAAAACACTATTCATCTTCCCTGACCTCAGGATATACAAATAGTAGCAATGGTAGTTGTTGCAGCGGCGGCGGACTTCCGAAGTCCTCTTTCTCTCTCTCTCTCCCGGTCTCTCTTCTTCCCCTTCCCCTTTCTCTCCTCTCCTTCTTCCCAATTTCCTCTATTTTCTATTCCTTGTAGATGGAGAGAGAGTAACTATTTTCCGTTCCTCTCCAACACCTTGTCTTTCTTCTTTGATAGAGACAATGGTTGTGGAAGCTGTGTTGCTCCCCCAGGTGCATTGGACTGGTACGCATTGAGGTCCTCGCTTGACGACTTAGTTGCTCCGCCACCAATTCCACCACCACCTCCGAAGGCCATCATCATGGGAGGAATTGATCCCGATGACGGACTGGTAGGTAACCCTAGTTGAAATTTTTGGTGTTGTTGAAGAGGTGGAGGAGGTAGTTGGGGTTGGGGAGGTGAGATCCTACTTCTGCTGCCGTTGTGGTTCTTATTATGGTAGTAATAACAATTCCCCCCTGATTGGGGCTCCCCATTCATCTCTTTCCGGTGGAAGTTCCTGTGACAGTCGCACGTGGCGCATTTTAGGGCCTCTAGGGTCCATTCCTTGCCACTCGGCATGAATTCGCCAATCTTTTGACCCCTATTTACCCCCAACCCCATTCAACCCGTACACTCTCCCTTCTCGCCATAAATTGGAGCTGCCCAATAACTTTTCATTTCTAACCTGTTAAAATTGTAGTCATAAATAATGCCTTCAACCAAAATGCATAAAAATTGCTAAGATTTTGGTAGCAAACACTACAATGGGCATGCTATGGACACACCGACCGGCAGCGCACTGCGGCGCAGTCATAGGCAGCAGCATGCACAGCAGCCCGGCAACGCGCACAGTAGCACGCACCGCCCGGCAGCACGCAGCACGCACTGCACGGCAGCAGCACTAGGTAGCAGCACGCTCCTCACGGAAGCAGCACTACGAGACGCGCACACCACCCGACAGCAGCAGTAGGGCGGGGCCCACATGACAGCTCATCAGGATGGACCCACACTTATCTTACCACATCAGCTCTACCGGCCAACTCACCGCTAGCTACACCATTCCTCATCCCTTATCTTATCTTATCCTTATCTTATTTTATCTTCTTAAGTAAGAGTTGTGTTACCATTAGGAGTTTTAGTTTGAGTAGGTAATTAGGAGTTTTAGCTTGARTTGGATTACCCTAGCCTAGCCGAATCCAACAAGGAATTCCCTTCTGTAAYCTCCTATTTAAGGAGCTACGAGTTGAAATAAAGCATTCAGTTTTCTAGTCAAGAAAAGAGTAAGGAGAGTTCAGGTGGTCTCTTGGACAAATCACCCATTCAGAGAGTTCGGGTGGTCTCTTGGACAAATCACCCATTCAGAGAGTTCGGGTGGTCTCTTGGACAAATCACCCATTCAGTTTTCGCAATAGGGTCTGCACGCAAGGGAGGCCGCAAGGGAAAGCAGGGCTTTCTCACCATGGACCAACCCGTGACGAGATTCTACGCGCAGGACCATAACATTTGGTATCAAAGCCAAACATCACGGGCGATATGGAGTAGCTATCATCCAAGGTCAACGAGTTGGAACATAGGCTAGCAGAAACCAGCATGGAGGTTCGTGAAGTCAAGGAAGACGCCCAGGAGCTGCGACGCCACCTGGAAGCATTCCTCTCCAACAAGGAAATGAGTTCTGAGGGAATCGCCAACACAAACAGTCATCGTCCGGACTGGGCAGAGGCATCCAATGAATAGCAGATCGCTGCCCCTACAGCCACAGTTATTCCCAAGGATCAGGGCACGGAGGATGAAACTGTAAAGTCTCCTCCTTTGGTCGGGGACAATGTCACGAACATTATATTGGTACCTGTAGAATGCGCTCCTTTGTCAAAGACAGGTGGGCTTGGCGATGTTGCTGGAGCTTTACTGAAGGCCTTGGCTCGGCGTGGACATAGAGTTAGGATTGTGGCACCATTGTATGGTAACTATGCAGAAGTCCAAGAAGCAGGAGTGCGCAAGAGATATAAGGTGGATGGGCAGGATATGGAGGTAACTTTTCAAGCTTATAGTGATGGCATGGATTTTGTGTTCATGGACAGCCCCATGTTCCACAATATTGAGAAAAATATATGTGGGGGAGGCCGAGGAGATATTTTAAAACGCATGGTTCTCTTTTGTAAGGCTGCTCTTGAGGTTCTCTTTTGTAAGTATACCCGGTGCGTTCCTGTGATCCACAACATAGCACACCAGGGTTGTGGTCCAGTATGCGATTTTCGTTATGTGGATCTTCCACAAAACTACTTCAAACTACATGACCCAGGTGGTGGGGAACACTTCAAGGTCCTTGCAGCTGGCCTGAAAGCAGCAGATCGTGTAGTCACTGTAAGCCATGGTTACGCTTGGGGGCTGAAAACTAAAGAAGGAGGCTGGGGTCTGCATCAAATAATAAATGAGTGTGATTGGAAGCTGAAGGGCATCGTGAATGGGATTGATGCAAAAGAATGGAACCAGCCTTATGCACTGAGCTATGGGACAGCCCCTGTTGTTCATACTGTTGGTGGACTGAGAAATAGTGTGCAGCCGTTTGATCCATTCGTAGAGTTCCAAGCCACATATCCGGAATTCGAGCTTGAGGACAAGCTCGTAGTCCAGGAGGGGTGTGATGTTATGGACACACCGACCGGCAGCGCACTGCGGTGCAGTCATAGGCAGCAGCACGCACAGCGGGCCGCCCAGCAGCACGCACAGCGGGCCGCCCAGCAGCACGCACCGCCCAGCAGCGCGCACAGCAAAATGCACCGCCCGGTAGCGCGCATAGCAACACGCACCGCCCGGCAGTGCGCAGCACGCACTGCATGACAGCAGCACTAGGCAGCAGCACGCTCCTCACGGAAGCAGCACTGCGAGACGCGCGCACCGCCCGGCAGCAGCAATAGGGCGGGGCCCACATGACAGCTCATCAGGGTGGGCCCACACTTATCTTACCACATCAGCTCTGCCCGCCAACTCGCCGCCAGCTACACCATTCCTCATCCCTTATCCTTATCCCTTATCTTATGTTATCCTTATCTTATTTTATCTTCTTAAGTAAGAGTTGTGTTACC